TACTGTTTCAGTAAGAGTTTCCAAATGGGAAAACAGATGTTACTATAGTGGTTCAGACAGAACAGATTTAATACAGATAATTCTTACAAACAATGTTGTAATGGCTGAAGGGCCAAAGTGGTGATATGCAGAACATATAAACACATATTGCCATTATCAAGGCAGGACCTGGGAACTTACACTCCCATCACCACTGTCACTGAGGTACTGTTGCCGAAGCTGGTGTGCCAGAACCACTGCCAGATGTTTCTAGCTTGAGTGGTAGCTCTCTTTCTCTCTCTCTTTTTTTTTTTTTTTTTACAGAAAGTAACTAGAAGCCAACTACCAAAGAAGCTGAGAAGACTACTTTGCAAGGAAGTCTTAGAAATGTAAATTTCAGGCTTCTAACTACCCCCAGTAATAAAAAAACTATATAGGGGCAGGAGTGGGGCTAACTACAAACAGACAACATCCAGTGTGTATGTGTTGGTGAGATGACTGATGGTATAAGTTTATGTTAATATTGTCATTGTCTGGTATACAGAAATGGGCTCACATTGAATTCTTTTTTGTTGTTTTTGTTTTTCTTTGTTTTTCGGTCTTGCTTTTGTCACTTGACAATATCTCAATGAAATTTTTCCAAGTCAACTTTATTCTTTTCCAAGCACAAGTTTATTCTCTTCAAGTCCTGAATGTTATTATGTGGTATGAATGAACAGTAATCCATCCAGGCATTCAATTATGATGAGTTTTCACTTTAACTCTTTGACAAGTATTAGTTTTCACTTTGACTCTTCTTTTTGGCTGAAACCTGAAATAAACATCACTGCTCATTGTTCTCTACGGGTTGGTACATTTTGTTATTGCTGGTTTGCTTTGTTGTTCTACTCAGCAAGATCCCAGCTTTAGGGTTGCTGGTGACATGGAAACTTGCCATATTATATTCCCAAATGGCTATAACTCATTATATTTTTAAAATTAAATTAGAAAAGGACAGTTTTCATTGCATTTCTGCCAGCAATAGGTATTATCTGGGATACTTTCTTAATTACATTTTTATTTCCCAGAAAGCAAGCCATCGCAGAATGAACTCAAATACTATCCCAACTCCCCTGTAACTTTACAGATGTTTCCAAACCACTATTATGCCTGGAGATGTTTTAATGATTCACCATTTTCTAATTTTAAATTGTCATGAAAATTACTCAAATTAGTGAAGGTGGAATAGCTTTTCAGTAATATTACAGCTAAAACAGGTATAATATTTTATGTTTCTTTTATTTTGTGTTTTATTTTCTTTCAAGATAGCTAAAATTTTGTGAAAGTGCAGCTATTATAAGTTTGTGTCAGCTATTATCACAGGTTGAATCATTCATGGTAAGCTAATTTACATTGTAATTGCATTCAGCCTCAAGATCCTGATAATCTTTAATATCAAATGTTCACTTCTTGCCACATGTTCATCACAAGTTTCTTGTGGGTGTGGAGAGAATTTGCCTAATGTCTCCTTACCTAGAAATCCAGTCTGCTGAGTGTCTAGCATCTGATGCATTTGCTAGCAGTTGTGGCAGAAGAGAAAGTGGCAAATTAAAAATTGGCTCTTAAAGACTTCTGTCCAGCAGTGATGTATACTGGGTCTCATCACTTGTTAATGAGTAACATTGACCATCACATTTATTCGAATATCCCCTGGAAGGTTTATTACATATTTCCTAACCTGGCATAATACAGCACACAGTATTTCAATTGTTCTTCTTTTTAGTTTTTGGTGACTTTACCCATTTTGAATTATTTTATGTGTAGAATAGGACCATTGATTTTGGAAAACTGGGAATTTGGCTGGCTCTGCAAATTGAAAAGCTAACTGGTCAAATAGTTTTTCCTTTTTATTTGTTATAGTGTTTGTGGTGGTGTTTTTGTTCTTGCATTGCTATAGAGAAATACCTGAGACTGGATAATTTATAAAGAAAAGAGGTTTAATTGGTTTAAGGTTCTGCAGGTTGTACATGCATGGCATACACATCTGCTCATCTTCTGGGGAGGCCTCATGGCTGTTTACTCACGGCAGAAGGTGAAGCAGGAGTAGGCACATCACATGGCTAGAGAAGAAGCAAGAGAGAGTGGGGTGGCAGGGTGCCACACACTTTTGAACAGCCAGATCTCACAGGGATCCACTCAGTATTGTGAGGACAGCATCCAGCTGTGAGGGATGCATGCCCTTGACCTAAACACCTCCCACCAGGCCTCATCCCCAACCCTAGGAATTACAGCTCAAATTGAGATTTTGCAGGGACATAGATCTAAACCATATCAGGTGGCTCACTGAAGAAAATGATTAATGGTATAAATTATTACGACACTTTAATCAATAATATTAGGATAAATGGCATTAGCGCATGTTATATTTTCAATGTGATTTAAATGTAAGTGCAGCCCCTGATGATTGTTATTTAGATCCATTTTAATTCCATCAGAGTGCCCAGATAGTACTTGGGAATACTTGCAGGTCTCAAATTGTTAAGGTAGTGGTTAGAGTTTTCAATTATTATTTGAAATAAATACAACTCAAGGATAAACCTTGATAATTGAAAAGGGATTAGGATATTAAAAATGCACATTTTCATGAAGACAGCTCCTTATTTTTTATCCACTGAAGAAAATATCTTGTGGACATTCTCTGGTATTACAGCTTTCAGTGGCATGACATTAAAATTCTGATTCCATATTGCTTGTTCTTCTGCATTGAAGCAGATGTCAGTTTCATATGGATTCTGAATATCGTCCAGTCTGCTCTTCAAATATAAATGTAATTACTGGTCAATAGTTTTAGATAATTTTTACATCTGTTGAAGTTGTGGAGGTTTTATTAATTATTTGGACTTAGACTTTATTCTCTTCAGAAAGCTGAGAAGTTAGAATCATATTACTTTGGGTGAGGTCACCTCCACTCTTGTTAACAGCAACGTGTGCTGAGTAGTCCAGGTGTACATGATCTGTGCTGTTATTACTCACAAGTCCTACTAGAAGGTTCAGGTACAGGAAATGAATTTCCTCCAAGTAAGAAAAACTTATGCACCTGCGTTATATACTGTTTGTGAAAAGCAAGAGGATGTAGTATCCAAAAGGTGTAAAGTTTATGCTTTAGTTGGCTAGAACAAAGTTCATCTTTATTCTCAGTTATCAGGAATCCTGAAAGACATTAAATCCAACTTCTATCCAGTGTTAGGGACCCTGAGAGGTAATTCTCAAACTTTTGCCTAAGAGTGATCCACATAATTTCGGTAATAAGCCTATTTCCTATTTCATTGTCTCACCTGAAAACTTGCTAACTGAAGTGAAAGCAATAAATGTCCTTTGTTAATACCTCTTCTCCTCCAGTACCACTATAGCTGCTACTATTGTGCTGCTACTCCTAATACATATTTAACAAATATAATGTGCACTCTACTCACCAAAACGCTGGGATAATTTACACATCAGCTAAAGCTGTTGAGGTTTCCTTTTGACTTAGTTGCCTCCAAAACTCTTAACATTTTGAACCAGGTTATCTTGCGTGCAGTCCACCCTGCTTTTAGTTATAGATGCGTGTGTTATTTATTCTGCATTCATCATCTCATTTATTCTTGACCACAGATCTGTAAGGTACATGTGAGTCTTATTCATGTTTTATAAAGTAGAGGACTGAGATTTAGAAAGGTTAAGAATGCTATCAAAGTCATTAGGATTTTAAATTTAAGCCGCCTGGCTATAAAACCCATGCTTTTAAGCACCTTGCAGTACACTCCTTTCGTTATTTTTATTTATTTTTAAATATTCTGATATTGATATTCTCACCTGTGATTTAAAAATGACCCTCTCGTAGTCGTGGAATTAGTAATTAAATCACCCACCTGTAAATGCTTAAGTTACCAGAATTAAAATAGAATATCCATGAAATGTTCTTGATATTAAAATTGTTTTTGTCACTGTGCACACCAAGATTTAAAGTCTAAAGCCTCATAATTATTCAGGCAATTGTTTTGGAAGTTCTTGTGTTTTCTCTATTTGCTATTGTCTATTGATTCTATAGCATGCTAGGATACATGGGCCCTAATCCATCTTTCACCTTCTTAGTACAAAGTACAATGTTTGATCTAAACAGCAATTTGGCTTGCCCTGGACAATGTTCTGCTTCCCCTAACCACAGAAACATGGTTCTGTGGAAGGTTATAATACCACATGGATCAGCAGTTTCAAGTGTTTGGCATTAAAGACGTTGTAAAGTGAATTATAAATAATTTTATCCTGAACTAACTATGTCATAGGCACATCCTGACATTATTTAGTTTGCACTGTTGTTCCTATTGTTGGGGCTGTTGTTGTTGATATTATTTTGGCAGACACTGTGATATGTTCAAATTAAAACTCTTTCTGGATCTCGCAGTTACAAGGTTATTATTATTGCTGTGCTGTTTACAAAAGAGTTGCCAAGAATGGTGCACTGGAAGCTGTATTCCACTTATCAATTCAAGGGAATTTTATTATCGCTTCTACCATCAGTGACTCTGTGAGTTGAACTGGATAAAATCAGAGATTATCTAGCGATTGTTTTATTGATCACTAAATGCATTTTTCTAAAAGTAAAGGCCCCAAATTGAAGCTCTTTAGTCAGTTGGCTGTTATTAAAATGGCATATAGTTAGAGTTATCAGTCTCTTGAGTATGCAAAATGTTATCTCAAAGCTAAACCAATTTTTTGGTATGGAGAGATATTATTAAATAGTTGAAATATTGTTGCTGAAAATATGGATTTAAAAGCATCAATACCAAGTGCCATGGAATTTCCAAATGACAACTTGATATTGACACAATAAAACAGAAAAAGCCATTAATAATTGAAAGCAATAAAAACACATGTTGTAAAACAACTTGAAGCAGGTAAATAATACAATGTGGCTGTTCAGTGATCATTCTGTAACACTAAAGTTTTAAAAGGCATCCTAACGTGTTGGGTTTTTGTTTGTTTCACGTTTCCCGATTTAGATTTATATTTTTGAAAATAATATCTACTATCAACCTGATATAAAGAGCAGTTCATTGCGACTGACATCTTCTGGAAAAGAAGAAATAATTTTTAATGGGATTGCTGATTGGTTATATGAAGGTGAGTTGATCAGACTTAGTTTCAAAAGAAACAAATGACACATTTTTATACAAAATCTACCAAAAAAATCTCATTCTAGAGCAATACTTACAGTATGATTTCTTCTCTTTTCCTCTCAAAATTGCTCTCATGATTTCATATCTTTTCATGTGCTTATATTTTGTGTGATTGTGATTTACATTGATTTATATGATTCCACTCTTGGTGTATATATGTATTTATAGGGTAGATAAATATTATTTGTGAGGAAAATTAATGAAAGTAAATGGTCTTATGTCATTTAGTGAAATTAATGAAAGTAAATTCACCTTATGTCACTCTGGAATTAGATGCTGAATTTTTTCTGACTTTGGAAAAGAAGAAACAGAAACCTTTATTTCTAGAAAAATGCATTAAAAGCCACCTGACTTTAGTCATTTTCATTAGGGACATTCTGTCATACTTTATAAGCTATTGCAGAGGGAGCAAAATAAAACCCATATAAAGAGTTATTTTCAGTATCTATTGAATCAGTTTTTAGTAATATCTGAGAATATAAAAATAAATCAGGTGATGAAAATTTATTCAGTTTTTATCACATACCAATTATCAGCTGAGTTCTAGATACAGATTACCTGGGGAAGACTCAAAGTTTGAGTTTATTACCTACGTTCAGATGCTTCAGCTGATTTTGGAAAAAATATGTCAAGATTTAAAGTAAGTTAGTCTACTTTGTTACAAATTATAAAGCTATGAATCATTCAAATATGAATTTTATTTCTTGGGCAATATTTGCAAATGCAGTCTCTCTACCTCATATTTGGTATTTTTAATTCTGTAAGAAAAGTGAATCATTTAGACCAAGTATTTATTCATTCATTCTCTCACTCAAATAATATCATTGAAGGCATACTGTATTCCAGATAGGTGTCTATGTGCTAAGATAAAAGAAGCAAAAAGTACTGTCTTATGAACCATAATTTTACATGAAATATTTTGTTAGGCGGAGCTATTGTATTAAGAAAGAGATGTTGTAACCCTTGAGATTTATATGTATATGTGTATATGTATATTTATATCTATAATAGATTTCTGTGTACATGCCAGCATCAAATAAAAGATTTTTAGAGGCTGCAGTTTATTGTGAAGAGCAGTGAGAGCTCCTATGAAAATATCAACAATAAGTATGCTGTGAAAGTATATATTAGAAAAAGAAACACACAGGTAAGTAGGGTTCTTTGGTTGAAAGTGATGGAATGTAACTCTGGCTTTTCTATTTCAAAGAGATAAATGGCTGGAGGGCACTGGGATGGCCCCAGAATTGAATAAACAGGTGGAGAATACATTTAAAATATGGTTAGTTCTGGCAATGTAGGTAGCAGGAGCTAATCCAAGATTTACCTAGAGAACTGCAGAGTCTAAGATGTGCCCTTTTCTTTCAAAATATTGTTGGTAGTGTGTGACATTGTGACAGGTGAAGAAACCATATTAATGCAGTGTAGTAATGCTGAATCTTAGTCAACACAGAATTCTAAGGAAGAACAAAGGAATGATACCATTCTAGGGGTTTGCAAGCATTTTTCTAAAGGAGAAACCCTGGCCAACCACAGTGTCTCAAGCCTGTAATCTCAGTGCTTTGGGAGGCCAGCGTGGGAGGATTATTCAAAGCCAGGAGTTCCAGATCAGCCTAGGCAACATAGCAAGGTTCTTAATTCGATTATAAAATTTTTAAAAAATGGCCATGTGTGGTGGCAGACACCTGTGGTCCCAGCTGAAGAGAGGATTGCCAATTAAGAGAGGATTGCCTGAGCTCAGGAGTTGAAGGGTGCAAGGAGCTATAATCCAGGCCACTGCTCTCCAGCTTAGGCAACAGAATGAGATTCTTACCTCTTAAAATGAGAAACAGAGAGAGAGAGAGAGAGAGAGAGAATACATCTGAGTTGAGCCCAAGAGGTTAACAAGGGTTACACATGAGAATAAATTAGGAAGGAAAAATCTAAGCAGAGGTAACAATTTGCAAAAACACAGAAGTATATCCCTAGGAAACCAAAGTCTCCTTGATATTATTGGGCCATAAAATTTGAGATAAAGGAAGGTAGCAAGAACCAAGAGATAGTGACCTCTGACAGTGATCTGGGAAACTTCATTTAAGTTGGTACGAATTAATAGGGAAACTAATAGAACTTGTCACTAAGAGAGTGACAAGATTTGATCTTCAATATGAATAGATCGTTTTGGCCACAGTGGGAAACTGAGATCTAATAGTGGAAAGAAACAGTGAGTGGGTGTAAGACTTCTGTGTTCTAACAAGAGATAATAATCAATGGAACTAGCGTTAAAGCAGTAAAAAGGAGGAAAGATGCTAAAATTGATGAGGCAATAAAATATATAGGTCTTAGTGGCTAAGCAGATAAGGTGAGTGATTAGAAGTCAAGGATGATTCTGTGGCTTCTGGTTTGGGTCACTAGTAAGTAGTGGTGGCAGACATAGTCAGCAAGCATTAACAAAGAACAGTGGGTTTCAGGGAAGAGAAGACTAGTTTAGTAGCAGTGTGGGCATTGTGCCACATGCTAACATGCTACCTTGGTTATAAAAGGTGGTCTGTAACATAGATGAACTTTCAGTCAACTGAGGGTATGCTCAGTATGTATCATGTATTGTGCTGCTCCATCCTGGATTAAAATGGCTTGGGCCTCTGTCCTATTGAAAAGGCTTCATACAGATTTATGGCTATTACATTTTTAAGGAGAAAAATTAGAGACCGTTTTCTGACAAATAAGATAATTTTCTAACTAAAGAATAAAAATCTATGTACTGGGTCTGAGGGTAAACTGTTTGTAGGGGTTGTGGGGAGCAGAACAAACAGGTAATAAAACCTTTTGTGGTGATGCTGTAGGTCTGACACATTCCAAAGGGGAAAGGAAAAAATATAGTTTTTGCCATTCTTTGGGTTCCTGTGTTGCAGATGACTAGGGAATGCTGTACGTGTATGTGATTTACTCATCACAATGTTTGTGTATCTAATCACTTACTAAGAAACCGAGACATACTGGTGCTGTGGCTCATTCCTGTAATTCTAGCACTTTGAAGGGCCGAGGCAGGTGGATCACTTAAGCCCAGGAGTTCAAGAACATCCTGGGTGATGTGGCAAAATCCCACCTCTACTAAAAATACAAAAGAATTACTGGGTGGGTGGTGGGGTAGTGCTGCCTGTGGTCCCAGCTACTCTGGAAGCTGAGGTGGGAGGATCACCTAAACCAAGAAGTTGAGGCTGCAGTGAGCCAAGAACATGCTACTGCACTCCAGCCTGAGCAACAAAAGTGAGATCCTATCTCAAAAGAAAAAAAAAACTAGAAACCAAGACTCAGAGAGAATCAGTGATTTAGACATGGCCTCAAAGCTAATGAGTGGGAAAGCCAACATTTGAATGTGTGTTTTTGTTCCTAAAGCCAGGGCTTAGTTACTAGACGAATCTACTTGTTATAGGGGGATGTCCTTCACTGTTCACTAAGACATAGCACACACTTTGGGACCTAAACTGTTAGATTTCAGTGATCTGTTTTCTAATCCAAAGACTTATCCTACTCTCTATGACTTACTCCAATTCTCACTGCATTTCCAGAAGGAACCCTACCCATGACATCAGTGTTAAAGTTTGGCAGAGGGATTGTAAGCTATTCAAATGTTATTGATTTTCCCTTACTATTTTGCCTGCTATTCCCAACATCTGCTTCAAGAGTCCTACGTGCACCTTTCCCTCCCACTATCGCTGTGCTTGTGGAATGTGCCAGGAGCTCCCAGACTCCAGACCTTTTTTTCGCCTTTAATGAACTCACTGAAACACAGTAATACTGCTAAGGGAATGCATGTAATTTCAGCTCCACGTATGTGTTACTCTGGTGTGGAGGTTTCCTTTTTATTACTTTACAGGAGTCAGTTACAATCTAAATTAGCATGTGTGGGAGACAGAGAAAGTAAAATATAACATTTCCACTTTTTTAATTTTAAGTTTTATTTTTTTATTGTACTTTAGGTTCTGGGGTACATGTGCAGATCATGCAGGATTGTTGCATAGGTACACACATGGCATGTGGTTTGCTACTTCCATCCCCCATCACCTACATCTGGCATTTCTCCCCATGTTATCCCTCCCCGACCTCCGCAACCCCCTGCTCTCCCTCCCTTACCCCTGCCACAACAGACCCCAGTGTGTGATGCTCCCCTCCCTGTGTCCATGTGTTCTCATTGTTATCCTTCATAGAGACAACATCTGGAAACCATCATTCTCAGCAAACTGACACAAGAACAGAAAATCAAACACCACATGGCATCACTCATAGGTGGTTGTTGAAAATGAGAACACATGGACAGAGGGAAGAGAGCATTCACTTTTTTAAAATTGAAATTTACCTTTTGTAAATGTCATAGAAAAAAATATGAGAGAAAGAGTCACATAAAAGACAATAAAATGTTTTCACAGTAGGCTTTCAGGGCATGTCTTAATCTTTTACTACCAGGCTAATCTGTAAGAGTAGCTGCTGCTCTCAACTAGTCATTAAATAGAGTCCTTAGAAGTGTCAGTTTTAAGAATCTTTGTCTCTATATCCAATATTACTTAGATCCTAAAGAAAGTAAAATAATGTCAAATACGATGCATTTCAAACAGTGAACTCAGAAAAATAAGAAAATGCTCAAAACAGAAGATTTTTTAAATTATATTTTAAGTTCTGGGGTACATGTGCAGAATGTGCAGCCAACAAACGTGAAAAAATGCTCATCATCACCAGTCATTAGAGAAATGCAAATCAAAACCACATTGAGATACCATCTCACGCCAGTTAGAATGGTGATCATTAAAAAATCAGGAAACCACAGATGCTGGAGAGGGTGTGGAGAAATAGGAACACTTTTATACTATTGATGGGAGTATCAATTAGTTCAACCATTGTGAAAGACACTATGGCGATTCCTCAAGGTTCTAGAAATAGAAGTACCATTTGACCCAGCAATCCCATTACTGG